CTAATACAAAATAAGATTTAAAAAAAAAAAAAAAAAGAAAGAAAGAAAGAAAATCAACTTACCAATACTATGAAATTGCCATCTCTGATGAATCCTTTCTGGAAGGAGTTGCAAAATTTTCTACAAAAAACAGAACCCAAGGATCTATGTTGCTATTTCAAGACCAAAGAGTGCTTTCACAAAGGCCACAGATCAGAAGCTGAAGGGTTAACTTAGAAAATTTCCACACTGCTTTCCTTGGAAGCATTACTGTCCTTTCAAGATAATCCCACTCCTATAGCTAAAGAAGCCCAAAGGCTCTGACAGACTGTCTGGCAAGTCATAGAATCATAGAATGGTTTGGGTTGGAATGGACCTCAAAGACCATCTAGTTCCAAACCCCCTGCCATGGACAGGGACACCCTCCACTAGACCAGGTTGCCCAAAGCCCCATCCAACCTGGCCTTGAACCCTTCCAGGGAGGGGGCATCCACAGCTTCCCTGGGCAACCTGTTCCAGTGCCTCACCACCCTCACAGTGAAGAATTTCTTCCTAATATCTAATCTAAATCTACCCTCCTTCAGCTTAAGGCCATTACCCTTCATCCTGTCACTACATGCTCTTGCAAACAGTCCCTCTCCAGCTTTCCTGTAGGCCCCTTTTAGGTACTGGAAGGCTGCTCTAAGGTCTCCCTGGAGCCTTCTCCTCTCAGGCTGAAGAATGCCAACTCTCTCAGCCTGTCCTCAGAGGAGAGGTGCTCCAGCCCTCTGATCAACTTGATGGCCCTCCTCTGAACTCACTCCAAGAGGTCCACGTCTTTCCTGTGCTGAAGGTCCCAGAGCCAGCTGCAGTACTCCAGGCAGGGTCTCATGAGAGTGGAGTAGAGAGGCAGAATCACCTCCCTTGACCTGCTGGCCATATTTCTTTTGATGTGGCCCAGGATACAGTTGGCTTTCTGGGCTGCAAACACACACTGCCAGCTCACGTTGAGCTTTTCATCCACCAACACTTCCAAGTCCTTCTCCTCAGGGCTGTTCTCAATCCATTCTCCACCCAGCCTGTATTTCTGCTTGGGATTGTCCCAACCCATGTCCAGGGCCTGCATTGGAGACTTCAGGTGTTACTGCAGTTTACCTGGCCCCACTGCCTCTCTGCTGGCTATTGCTGCTTATCCTTAGGGAGCAAAATGGGATGAGTATCTGTCTCAGTTGCTCTGGTTCACAACAGGTTGTATTAGGTTATTCCACCTTTACAGTGGCTTAAGCTAAAACACTCAGCTATCAACTTCCCTCTGTGGCACAAGCAAACATTTGCTTCAGCCTTCTCAACAGAGGGGTAATGAGCTACAGCAAAACAATGAAAAGACTTGGGCAACAATGGCCTAACGCCTCTCCAGCTAGATTGGAGGCTGATCATCTTCAGATGGTAAGAAACAAAGCACAACTAGTGACAGAGGCAGTTAAAAATTTATTATGTAGCACTTCAACCTTTATGCTAGAGGCATGAGCAACTTTTAAATAATCCAATTTCCCAAATGAATTCCTGACCATGGCACTCTAGCACCAGCCTGTGCAACTGCTTCCAAAGCACGTCATCTAATATCCCTTTATGTAGGTACTAGTGAACAAATGAACTAGCTCTCTTCAGATTCAATCTCCTTGTAACAGCTAACCCCACAGTTTTAAGCACCAATGTACCTTACTAAAACAAAAAACCCACAAAAAAATCCCCATCCAAACAAAAAACCACGTATGAAAATCTTTGAATTTGTATACAGCCATGTGATAAGCATTCATCAGCTTTCCATTTCACACATTTTTAAAACCCCAATCTTTGTTCCATAGTTAGAAGCCCCCATCAAAAATAAAAGAAAAAATGTTGACATTCTAAGCTATTTCTAAACTATAGTCTCTGCTCAGAAGTGTTCTGAATCCATTAAATTAGTTTCTAATTTATCTTAATTAAGTCAAGATATGCTTTTGGTAAGGATATTGCAAAATGCTATTTTCAAATAATAAATCTTTTAAAAAATAAAAGGGATCTATAAAAACTAATTCTGCAGTAGTAATCTATTATGAGAAGAATCAGAGATAACATGCAATCAAAAGGTCAAAAAGATCATGACTAATCAGAGTTCACCTTTATAAGAATTTTTAAGTATATAATACATTGGCGGGGGGGGGGACGGGACACGGGACAACCACCAAAAAGCAATGAACTATCTGCAAATGCAAAAACATCTTTTTTCAGTTACGACATCTTCTTGTAAAACTGCAAGTCAAATTCTTTTTCTTCTCACACAAAGCACATACATTCAACTCTAAGCAAAAGGAAAAAGGAATGCAGTTAAATGTAAAGCGTATTTCCAGGCAACTGTAGAATAGCTGTACTGTTATTATTTAACAGGACTTAATTCTAAGCAAAACACTCATACAGGAATATTCAAGTTATCTTACCTCAAAAATAAAAAGAATAGAATCTAATTCTTCTCTCTGAGACTTGTGACCTAGATGCAATTAAAAATAAATAGAAGACACACATTCATTATCAAAACAAAATGTAAAGAACACTGACAAAGATCCTTAAGCGCACAAAACAAAAACAAGCATTTCTACAATCATAATTTTGCATTCCTTCTACAAATTAAAAAAAGATTATTTCATAGTTATCATTTATAACAGTAACAGTTTGTGTAACTTCTTATTATGGCATCAACAGCTGGTAGAGATTAAGTTACACAATATCTTGCTAAACAAAACTTAGAATAACTCTGCAGAACACAAAAAGTGTAACACCTTAAGAATCCTCACTTTGCAAAAGGGCAAAACCAGTCATCAGAGAAGAAATGCTCTTTGCTCACCTCCACTGCCTGCACCTCTAACTGCTCTGCCTTTATTTGCAAAGTTAGTGCTTATGCATATTTCTGCACAGCTAATGTTGCCATTTGTAAGCACAGACACACAGCTTTATATAAATAACACTCTGCTTTATTTTATAACAAAAACAGAAGCACTGAGACAAAAACTGTTCTATTTGAAGTGCTTACCTTTTTGTTTAAGACCTACTTCGATAGTCACAAAGTTTTCAAAGAACACATAATATACATGTGAGAAATGTAAGTCGAAAAACTGTTTGAGATCAATTGATTCTGCGTTGTCTGAAAAACAGAACAGAACATTGTTTTTATTTCTTTCAAATATTCAGAATCAACCACTGCATACCATTATCCCATAGTAAGAACTGAAGATATGTAAAAGAAAAATTATTATTGGTAAAGAAGTTGTTGAAGTTTTCATTCTTTTAAACTGAAGGTAATGAAAATTGATATGGGATGCCATAAGTGCCCAGTGAATTTTAAAACAGGAAGCAGTGTCTTCCTGCACGCTCATTGTTTGCACAATGGTAATGCCTGCAAACCCAGTCATGAACCAGAATACCATCAGGACCAGCACAGTGCAGATGAAAGTCTGTTTAACTGGTAAGAGAAATAAAGCAAACGACACTGCCCAAACTCTACAACAGAAAGACCATTACTGTCCCCAGTTGTAATTACCAGACACACCTAAGCTCTCTTAAGAAAGGGGGAGAAGGATAAGTGAGGATCACCTCTGCTCTGGAGAGAAACGTGTTGGGAGGAAGCAAACAGCAGCACTGTATTCCCACTGCTGCCTCCTTACTCCCTGCAAGCTCCAACACGCCCCTTTGCTTTCCAGTCTGGCCCACACAGTTTGACTGGTGGTCTCACAAGATCAGAAGCTGGGACCTCAGGGATACCCTGAGGTGGAAACATCGCTGTGAGTGTAGAGCGATGGGCTTTCTTGTGTACCCCAGAAAGGTCTCCAGACTCTCTTCCCGCAACCCCCCTAGATGGTTTTGTGCAAATTCTCAGTTAAAGAAATATATGATGATTTATCTAAATTCATTTCAAATTGATCAGTTCTTTCAAGCCTTAGTACACACTGAACCAAAAGACACTCCCTGTCCTGTTATTTAACTATGTAAGACTAGAGAAACTAGCTGGACAGAACAATAGTATGGAAGCACAGAGAAACACGAAGACAGTCTTTCAAAAGGCAAAGCCCTCCCCTTTCAGAATATTGATGTGAAATTAAAAAAAAACCAAAAAACAAACCAAAAAACCAAAAACCAAACCCACACACAACCAAAACCATGAAGAAATGTGATGCAGATGAAACCTTTATACCCTTCACCAGCTCTATACACTGAGGCATCACTTTTCACTGTAGATGTATCTTTTGTAAGTCCCCTTCTAATTCTTTACTGGATCACAGTTTTTTAACCCTTTTTAGAATGACATCAATCTTGATCATCTCACATGACTGGATATACAACTGGTAGAGTATAAAGCACAGAAACAATCAATTGAAAGGATGCCCAAAAGCGTGGCATGTTTTCAATTCTATTTTATTATGTAGCTCTAGAGGACTATCAATTTTATCACTAATCTTGTAAAAGTTTCCAATACATGTTCAATTTTTGCAGTATCACAGCATTCTGCCAAGGTCTTGCATAATGCATGTAGTGGAGCCAGAGTGCCCTTAGAGAAAACAGTGCTATATTAACAGCTAAGATCAAGTCTTAAAGCATGGCAGCTTAGCTAGCAATAAACTTAGTGGTCCAGAGTGGCATGCGCATGCCTGACCATCTACAGGATTATCAAACCTCTGGTTTTGCAGAAACTGCTACATCACTTACAAATCAGCAGCTGAACTGCTGGAGTTTAGAGTCTGAAATATTAAACGTTAACGACAACAAAAAACAATTCCACCTTCAACTAGACTATGATTTCAGGGGGTCCTGGCAAGCGCACAAGAAACAGAGCTATGACTAGAGCACAGGCACAACCATTATAAGCACTTCCACTCATGGGGCAAAACCCTAAGTGAGTTCTAGACTGTGGACAAGAAAATAGAGCAGGAAGCAAATCAAAAGGGCTTGGAGATAGGAGGATTAAAGGGAAGAAGAAAGCAATGATTGAGACTTTGGGGAGAAAGGAGGGTGGTAGAAGATAATCTTTTAGTCCATGTATTTAACTGCTGTATGGGAATTGCACATAGAAAGCAGTGGAATGGTTCACTCGATGCGAAGAAGC